AAATAGAAATCGAAGAGAAGATTGCAAGATAAACTCACTTATGAAAACAAAATAAAAGACTGGTGATACACCTGGAAGTTTTCTGCACTGCAAATAAATATGAGTCAATATTACAGAAAAATATTTGCAAGCATTACATCAAACAAAAGCCACAGCTTTGCTTCAGCAGCTTTTGCAGCCCTTTTTGTTTGCTTTGTGCAAAATTCAAAAGAGTGAAATTTTCTTCACAAGGATATTAATGGAAAGGGAAAATCACATTTACTTGTACGAATATGCATTTGCCAATGTATTCATGCTGGAGTTATTCAAAGAAAGCTCTTTTGCATGTCATCTATTGAAAGAGCACAGAAAAAAATGTCATGTGACTTAGGTGACTAATCAAACAGAGTGAATAGTGAATTACAAATAGTCAATACCCAAAGCATTAGTCATGTTGAATAGTTAGCAAGCAATCCAACGGCAGATATATGTTTTGTAAATCATTCAGCGGATAATGTTTAATAATGAACAATCATGTAAAAATCAAGGTCTGTTCATGGATAATTTGCAGACTAAAAAAGGAGTAAAGTTCTTTGAAGAAATTGTTCACTGTCTTCACCCAGCCTCTGCTACAATCACGTGTGTCAGTATAAAGTCTCAGGTGTTCACACACCTCTATGTTCAATGCCACAAGTTCAGAATGGAGTATACGCTCCAACTTTATATTTTCCATCATTTAGTGGGTTGTCTGAATTGTGCTCTCGTGTAATTGTGTCATATTTAATCCTAAGACAGATACATTACATTAAAAACATAGCAGATCTGAGTATAGATACAAAGAGCATGCCTTTCAGTTTCTACTAAGAGGGTGTTATTTTTAAGAGTAATATAATTTTGTTTATGCCAGCTTCAGAATTGATAACACAATATTAGTGCTTTCTGAAAAACAATAATGGGTGACTTTGGCCTTATGGCTTAAGACTATGGTCAATATATATTATGTGAACTGTAGCCTGTCCTTGCAAGATGATGTACTCAGTTGTCCGATAGGATCATATTAGTTAGAAAAGGAAAGAAACCTAAACTAGTAATTTTTGTTGGAGCAAAAAGAAAAGGAGTACTTGTGGTACTTGTTGGAGCATTTTTCTTGAAGAATTTATCACTGGGAAATATTTTTAAAAAATTAAACCAAATAGTGGTGGCTTATAAATCACCAGGGAGAAAAGGCAATTATTTGTGAACACTTAGCATTTTTACATTAAAGTTAGAAAATTTATTAACAGTAGCCTAAAGGGGAAGAATTGTACTCTATGTTAGAAGTCTTGCTCCAGTTTATCCTCACTACCTCCATACTGTATTAAAAACAAATTTGAAACCTGAACATGTTCGCTACAATTATCATTATCCAACCTCCATAATAACTGGCCTTCCCTAAAGAAAAATATTTTAAGTCATGTCTTGTGGTTCACTGTATTTCACATTGTAATTGGCATCCCATTGATATTTGTCAGGCTAGAGGATTACCCATAGCAAATACAAGGTGGGCATATTTTATTTTGTGTAGTCTTTTGCAGATGAACCACTGGGAGAATTCACAGGATTCCACACAACTCTGAAATTACTATTACAGTTGTTGGCTCCAAGGCGTTTTGATGATTTTTAGATACAGTACTGATTAGTTGCCTTTCCCAGCCCCGTGCTGCATTGAATAAAGGCAGACATTGAATGTTTCCGGTATTTTTGCATTAAAACTGTCATTGGCAGCAGCAGCACTTTTGCATATGCAGCAGTTTGGCTCCAGTGCAGATTTTTGTTCACATTGGATGCCTACTGATGTGCACTAATTTAACTTCTAAAAATGGAACTTAATTTTGTATAGCTTATAAGTAGTCCCTAGTGGGTCTTGGCTCCAAAAGAAGCTAATATTTTCCAGACATAATCAGCAGCAAAAAGTAATGTATTGCGATTAGATACATTAGCAGCCAGCGTGGGGGGGAGGGGTCGGGGAGAGGTGTGATGCAGAAATTCAGTGTAAATGTAATATGCTCTTAGCAGCTTCATATTTTGCACAGGTTCTTAATATAAAATTACACAATCAGCGTGACAATTTAGCATTATTCTCCTTGTTTATTCATAATGATTGTTTCATATTTAAAGAACACCAAAATATTGTGTTTTGTCAGCCAAGGACAATGATAGTGTAATAGTAATTTATTTTAAACTGCTACGGATAATACAACCAATCAACACATTAAGTGGTGCCAACATTGGCATCTTGCTAAATAATCTCTAGGCTTTGCACTGACAGTACATCTTTCAAAGATAAGTCAACAAGAGCAATCAGAGCAGAAAATTAGAATTTGGTTTCTTAGAATTAAAATACAGCTAAACTAAAGTTTTAATTGGGGTGATCTAAAAGGGCACTTGATGTAATGATCTCTTTCATTTGATACTAATTGTTTGTTCCTGATGAAGAAGAAACATGTACATGAATGTTGCTGAATTGAGTAAAGATGGCAGTTGCCTTTGCTGCTAGATTTTATTGTTAAACAAGATGAATTGTCACAGTGAGGGAGAGGGTTGTCTGCACCTTAGAAATTCTTTGTCTATTTATTTTGCATCAAGGGGAGACCTTTTCATAGAATCATAGAATCATAGAATATCAGGGTTGGAAGGGACCTCAGGAGGTCATCTAGTTCAACCCCCTGCTCAAAAGCAGGACCCATCCCCAATTAAATCATCCCAGCCAGGGCTTTGTCAAGCCTGAACTTAAAAACTTCTAAGGAAGGAGATTCCACCACCTCCCTAGGCAACGCATTCCAGTGTTTCACCACCCTCCTAGTGAAAAAGTTTTTCCTAATATCCAACCTAAACCTCCCCCACTGCAACTTGAGACCATTACTCCTTGTCCTGTCCTCTTCTACCACTGAGAATAGTCTAGAACCATCCTCTCTGGAACCACCTCTCAGGTAGTTGAAAGCAGCTATCAAATCTCCCCTCATTCTTCTCTCCCGCAGACTAAACAATCCCAGTTCCCTCAGCCTCTCCTCATAAGTCATGTGTTCCAGACCCCTAATCATTTTTGTTGCCCTTCGCTGGACTCTCTCCAGTTTATCCACATCCTTCTTGTAGTGTGGGGCCCAAAACTGAACACAGTACTCCAGATGACACCAGTGTCGAATAGAGGGGGACGATCACGTCCCTCGATCTGCTCGCTATGCCCCTACTTATACATCCCAAAATGCCATTGGCCTTCTTGGCAACAAGGGCACACTGCTGACTCATATCCAGCTTCTCGTCCACTGTCACCCCTAGGTCGTTTTCCGCAGAACTGCTGCCTAGCCATTCAGTCCCTAGTCTGTAGCTGTGCATTGGGTTCTTCCATCCTAAGTGCGGGACTCTGCACTTATCCTTATTGAACCTCATCAGATAAGGAACTTTTGTATAAGTTCACCTGATTTGGACTTATGAGTGATGTGAGTGATTTGCATGTTCTAGGCGGAGATAAACGGGAGGAGTTAGGAATATTCTAGATTTCAACTGTTTGCTGAAGTAAGAGGAGAACATGGATCCAAAAAAACCCCAAACCTCTTGTTTATTGCCTCATTTGAATTTTTCATTGGTTTAGAAGTGTCCTTCATGTGAAAACTGGTTGTCTGAAGGAAAAATGATTACTTGTTTTAAAAAATTGGGAAAAAATTCCAGATATATGTTAAAAAATTAAAAATTAGACTCTAGAAAGGGTTTATTATTACTATTAGTAATACTTTATTTGTTTGTTTGTTTGTTTTATTTTAAACTGTACTTAATTTTGAACATTCCTATGTAGTTTTATATTTAGTCCAATAGAGTTTTGTTTGGTAGCTTCCAAATTTAACAGTACAATCATAATTATCTTGTAGATTATTTTTGAATGGTTTTAACTTCTTTTCAAGTGGACTGTTACAACTTTTAAACATATTTTTATGCAATTTTATCTTTAGGTTGATAGGAATTTTCAAAATGTGGCCTGCATTTTTGCCTAAACAAATGTGTGTGCACAAATAACATAACGTACATTCCCATAAAGTGCATCAGGTTCCCTACCATGAGAACTTTACAATTGGAGGACCTCCCATTAAGTGCTGAGCTTTCTCAACACTTGCAGATTTCAGTGGGAGTTGAGTGCAATAATACCATGAGGGATTAGGCCCTGAATTAGACAAGATATGAGACAACAGTTTAGGTAAGAGTGGGTATGAGGAGCATTGAGAAGAAAATGGGATGGACTGTTAAAATGTGTTTAAAAGAGGGATTTGAAGGAGGTCTTGATAGACTCTGACAATGGAAAAGCTAGCAGACCAAGCTTGCAGTTTGTCCTTTGCCTGGCCAGGGAGTTGGCTCTTTGGGACAGGTACTGTCTCTCACTATGTGTCTATAGAATGCTTAGTACAATCAGGACCTGATCTCAACTGGGCTATTTTAATACATATAATTATTATTAATAATAACAGTAATGAGCAGGGTGTATGGGTGATGTGCTGCTTCATTACATCCCTACTAGAGCTCCCATCAGGTCAGCTTATATGGAGGTTATTGCAGTAATTAAAGAAGCCACTTTCTGGAAGAAAAGCCAAAGGGAACATTGAGTCAACTTCCCCTTTGGGAATGGTGCCCCTCACTGCTGTGGGGTGACGCAGTTACATTTTAATCTTCAGGAAGAATAAATCTAGCTCTATAACCTTTATCAAGAGTTGTACACACAAAGGATGTGTTGAGTGCCTTTGAAAATTTGGCCCCATGTGTTTTTACATATAGCTTGTCTGCCTGTTTGAATGTGTTTCAGTAAAAAAGGTGCTGATGATAATAGGAAGGCTTATTAAGCTGTTATGTGCACCCATATAACCGTGACCTGGCAGCAGGATTATTTTTTTACTTAAAATCTCTCATATCTAATCAAGAAAATACAAAAGAAGTTCATTTATTATGTCTGCTGTTTTACATTCCCAAACTTTGCAATGTTCAACTTCATCTTTGAACAGGGCCTATTAAAGGTTGCGATAGACAATGCCAGAGCTCAAGAGAAACAGGTCCAGATGGAAAAGACGGAGCTGAAGATGGAGTTGTTCAGGGAACGAGAACTGAGGGAAACTCTGGAAAAACAGCTGGCTGTGGAACAGAAGAACAGAGGTATTTTACAAATGTTCTGAGTTTTTTTTATAAGCAGACATAACCTCTTTATAATTTATTTATCCAAGTTTAATTCTAATATATTAGAACCTAGTTTTGAGCAAAACCCTTCTTTTACCTCATTTTATAGAGGAAGCTATGTGACTTCCCTAATTTTGCACAGCGGGCTTTGTACTCAGGACCCTCCCAGTTTTCAACTCTTTGCTTGAATCCCTTTTGTTTCTACATATAATTAAGGTTTTATTGCAATATAGACAGAATCCTAGACTTTAAAGCAAGAAGGACCATCATGATAATCTATTCTGACCTTCTGCACATTGCAGGCCACAGTACCTCATCCAACGCCTCCTGTCGTAGGCCCATAACCTCTGGCTGAGTTACTGAGGTCCTCAAATCTTGATTTAAAGACTTCAAGTTACAGATAATCTACTCTTTACTATCGTTCAAACCAAGAAGTGTCTCATGCCCCAGGCTACAGAGGAAGGCAAAAAATCTCCAGGGTCTCTGCCATCCTGACCTGGAGGAAAATTCCTTTCTGATGTCAAATATGGCGATCAGTTAGACTTCAAGCATGTAGGCAAAACCCATCCACCAGATTCCTGAGAAAGAATTTTCAGTAGTAACAGAGTCTTCCCTCATCTTCAGCAATTGGAGATAGTTGCTAATAGCAGTCATGGATTAGCCGTATGCCATTGTAGGCCGTCTCATTTTCTCATCTCTTCCATAAACTTATCAAGTTCAGTCTTGAAGTTAGTTAGGTTTTTTATCCCATTGCTCCGTTTGGAAGGCTGTTCCAGAACTTTGCTGCTCTGATGGTTGGGAAACCTTTGTCTAATTTCAAGTCTAAACTTATTGATGGTCAGTTTATATCCATTTGTTCTTGTGTCAACATTGACCCTTAACTTAGATAACTCTTCCCCTGTATTTATCTTTCTGATGTGTTTATAGAGAACAATCATGTCTCCCCCTCAGTTTTCATTTAATCAGGCTAAGTAAGGCAAGCTCCTTAAGTCTCCTCTCATAAGGCAGGTTCTCCATTCCTCTGATCATCCTAGTACCCCTTCTCTGCACCCGTTCCAATTTGAATTCATCTTTCTTAAACATGGGAGACCAAAAATGCACACAGTGTTTTTGATGAGGTCTAACCAATGACTTGCATAATGGTAAGAATACTTCCCTGTCTCTACTGGAAACATCTTGCCTGATGCATCCTAGGTTTGCATTAGCTTTGTTCATGGCTGTATCATACTGGCGGACCCTAGTCATCCTATTATGGACCAATACCCCCAGCTCTTTCTCCTCCTCTGTCACTTACAGCTGATAAAATAAGAAATCTCTTTGAAGCAGCTTGAACGGAGGACACTTGGATTCAAAATCAGTATTTTTATACCTTGAGCTAAATTGAATCCCATGTTAGTCTTTAAGGACTCCTTGTTGTTTTTGTGAATCCCATTAGTATCACTGTAATCTTATTTCATGCCTCTTTCCACTAGAGGGTGCAACTATTACACCATGAATTTCCCTTTTAAACAGAGGAGAATAAATAATTGTAGGCAATAACTATTAATAATAATCATGAGTGTGCATAGAATCTTCACTGTGACTATTGACTGGCATATTAATTCAATTAATACAATTACAGGACTAATACTAAATAGGTCTCTTTTTTTAGTGGATCTCAAATATTTTTTATAAACACTAGCCAGTGCTATGCCTCATGACACCTCTGTGAGGTAGATAGTATACCTGTTTTACTGATAGGCAAACTCAGGCACAGCAGAGGGGTTAAGTGATTTCTCCAAAGTTAGACACTGAGGAAAACTACATGATAGGCCCTGATTTTGTGCCAGGTAATGAAAAAAATGACTTGTATTGTCAGCACTATGCACTGCATACTCTTCTACTTTGTACCACTCTAATGACATTATTTCACCTGGTATAAGAAGCTGGACCTAAGGATGAGGAGATATGATTGCTCTCTAGAAATACATCAGGGAGTAAACAACACTGAGAGTGAAACCTACTCAAGCTGAAGGATGGTGTTGGTACAAGAGCCAATGGGTATAAGCTGGTCATGAAAAAAATCAGGCTGGAATTTACAAGGCGGTTTCTCACCATCAGAGGGGTGAGGTGCTAGAACAGCCTCCAACAGGAGTTGTGGAGGCAAACAACATACCTGGTTTTAAGACAGAACAGAACAGTTTTATAAGTGCTCTTGTATGATGGGGTTGGTTTTGACAGTAGGGTCTCACTTCCTGTTTATATCTTATATTTCTAATACTCATACTTTGGGGCTTCAGTCACCTGGAGGGGACAGGAAGGGATTTTTACCTCAGGGTGTATTCTGGGGGATATTTTTGGTCTCTTTCCTTTGAAGCATCAGAGATGACTACAGCTGAAGATGAGATTTTGGACATGGACAGCCAGAGTATTGATCATTCTCCCTCTCAGTGCTTAGTTGGCTGTTTCTTGCTCACATGCTCTGGGTCTAACTGATCACCTCATGTGGGGTCAGGAAGGAATTTTTTTGATCTTCAGTGTTAGGCAACCTCCTCTAATGTCTACCTATTGTTGATTGGGTTAATGTGACAGAAACCTATGTTTACTTTATCCCCACTGATCTAAATATTGTAGGTGTCTCTGGGAACATCAGTTAACTGAGCTGCTGCTGTATATAATGCAGTGACACTATTTTCTTTGTCTTGTTTACTGTACCCTATCCTTCCAATCTGTATGTTATCCAGTTAGTCACTCCTCTGGGTGTAGTGTTTGATCAGGTAGTAAAACCAGGATAATATCACTTTTATGAGAAACTACACAATAAGACTTTGCTAATTCTGTCTCTGTCTGCTATGGTCACATCTACACTGTGTCAGCCATGATGTTTGAAAGGCACTTGCAAACTATTTATAATGAAAATATTAAAACCATGAAACTACGCAAGATGTATTTAGCTCAGATTTTCAATATCATAAGATGATAAATCTATTCTCATGTATTAGTGGTATATACTAAAAATGGTACTGTGTAGTTGATGCTGCACAAGATATAGAGTGTTGCAGAACTGTTCTCAACTTCTTCAGAGGTTTGTTGTAGCTTGGACTGGTAAACAGAACTCATTGCACCTTACTCTGCTGCAACTGGGACCTCAGTTCCGGTATCAGGCTCCCTGAGTTCTGTGGCACACTGGTTTTAAACTCTGGGAATGTGAGCTGGTTAGAAACATTGAGAAAATGAGGATTTTTATTGAATTCTATGTAAAAGTGTTGATTGTGTGGTACTTTTAAGGTCTAATTCTGTAAGCCCATCACATGCAGAGCTCCAGCTGAAGGTGTGGAGGGCTCCTAGGATTGGGATCTTAATGTTTAATTTCATAGTACCCTTTATTTTGTTTATGTTTTTTCATACGTTTCAAACAGTTACCTAATTTCCACTTCACTACAGGATCTTGAAGTCAGTTAGATTTTTTATCCCATTGCTGACATGCAACAAAGATCAGGGTGCTTCAGTGCAGAATGTTAGGTTCAGTGTGTTACACACCCTCTTTCTTGGGGTGGGGAGGGCATCAGTGGTAAGGGAGGAGACAGATGATAGTGACCCAGCTATATTATTTTTAGGAACCCATAATAAGTAGTAACTGTGTAGCCAAAATCTCAGAACCAAATGTGAATGCACTGATTTTTCTCCCCCAGCAATAATTCAGAAAAGGTTAAAGAAAGAAAAGAAGGCAAAGAGGAAATTGCAGGAAGCGCTTGAATTTGAGACTAAGCGGCGGGAACAAGCAGAACAGACATTGAAACAGGCAACTTCAACAGACAGTCTCAGGGCCCTAAATGGTAAGAAGTCAGCTTTTTGCTTCTCTGTAATTAACCCTCAATTCAAGTGGTGAAATCAGTTGTTATGTTGGTCACAATTATTTTTGTGATGCAACAGGGAAAAATTACCTTTTGCTTTCCTCCATTTCATTGCTTCTCTAGTTGTTGTGATGCTTTTTTTGTACAGTGTGTGTGAGCAAATATTACTTCACTGGAGAGAATGCCCAAACTAGAACAATTTTACATTATTAGCTTGAGAAGTCAATTCTTTGCTTTTCTCTCTGCTTAAAAATCTATTCCTCATTAATCTTCCCAGTCTAGAAAAAAATTTCCTGGCCTCCAGGCATTGTTCAACATTAAAAAAAAAGGGACAAAGGTTGATTGTATTGTAATTCAGCATTGGAGTAACAGGTTGTAAAAAAGGCTACAGGAGTTAAATAAAATATGTGTCAGTCTTACCTTTCTGTGCTTCTAGACTCTCTGACCCCAGAGATAGAAGCTGACCGCAGCGGGGGCAGAACAGATGCTGAAAGGACAATACAAGGTAGGCATTTGCAAAAGGCTATAAATCTAGATCTTACTATATGAGTTTTTCCTCCACTTTAGCCTGTTATTCAAGCATGTAGCCTACCATCTGGACCACATCAAAACAAGTTCAAACAAGGTCAAGTTCATCTTGCTTGTTTATAAGAGAGAATTCATTCTGTGCTGATAGATTTTCTTTAAATTAACAGGTCAATTCTGTTTATATAAAGCAAGTGAAGAGGAATAATTAATTTGAAACTATGCTGGATTGAATCTTAGCCACACTGAATTCATTTTTTGTGAATGTGCATAGTCACATCTAGGATAACAATGTTTCTTAAGGTATATTTGAAACACTCTGAGCCTTTTAACCATACCAGTGAAAACCTGGATTAACCTATGGGTAATATTCAAGGTGTGATGAGAACTTCATAGCTAATATTCAGTGGCAGTTACTGCAAAGTGTGTTTCAATAAGCTACTCCAAATATTAACAATAAATAAAACTGTGTATTCCCCTCTTGGATTTTTCATTTGCCAAATGTTCCATATCCCATTATTTGCATTTTAATAAAACAAATCTGCTGAGTAAATTTATACTTGGAATACTAAAGGGAGCCATATTACTTCCTCTGTGAAGCTAAATATATATATATTGCAAACAGCAAGATATTAGTAAAGAACAAATTCTGAAGGTAGCATTTATGTTATAATGTCATCCTATAATCAGTAAGCTAACTCTACCAACATGAATACTAAACAACAGAAGTAGCATTTGTTTTCAATTTGTTTAAATGAAGGTGTATTTTTCAAAGGCAAGCCTAAAATGATTAGCTGCAGTAATCTCTCTCCAAATTGCCTTTATTTTGCCTTTTAAAGTCAATCATCATAACTATATCATTTGACATCTTTTTGTCTGTATTTTAATCACTTTTTCTAACTCCTAAAGGGTTGTGGCAAACTTTCCACAAAGAAGGCATTGGCATTATGTTCAAAAGGCAAGAAAGCTTAAATTAATAAAACAAGTTCAAACAAATTTAAAACAGACAGGAAGTCCTTACAGAAATGTATATGCATATTACACACAAAAAACTGTTAAAAGTTGTGGTTGCAAAGTCAAGCACTCAAAAGTTAGGAAATGCCACAGTTAAAGTTGCATGTGGAAGTAAAATTGGGCCCTGTTGTGTGTATGCATTATGATACAGTCTTTAACATGATCAAAATCTGTATTTTCCATTGAACCCTTGCCTCATTCACTGTACAGGATGGAGAGTGCTTATTCAGAGAGCAGGTATTCAATATTTTATGTTATCCTCATTTTGCAACATGTGACCCCATATCTTACTTACTGCACACTATTCAAAACCTGTTGTGGAGGCAGAATTGTTTATTTCCTCATGGGGCTTCTCTGTCATGCTCATCAATATAGTATCTGAGTGCTTCACAGATTTATCTTCACAACTCCCCCGTGAGGTGAAGGGGTTATATTATCCCCATTATAGAGATGGCGAGCTGAGGAACATAAAGTTTTAGGTTCTGTCTATACTATACTAGCTTATGTCAGAATAACTTGTGTCACTCAAGGGAGTGAATAAATCACCCCTCAGAGTGACATAAGTTACTGACGTACGCGCTGGTGTGCATAGTGCTGTGTCCTTGGGAGAGCTTCTCTTGCCAACATAGCTTCTGCCGCTCACAGAGACAGAAGTAGTTAAGCGGATGGGAGAGCTCTCTCCTGTCAGCTTAGAGAGTCTATATTAGAGAGCCTACAGCAGCACAGCTGCACCCCTGTAAACTCTAGTGTAGCTGTAGCCTAAGCGTACACTAGTTTTGGGTTCCCCATTTGATACAATGGTGTGTGATTTTTTAGAGCACTCCAGTTTTTCTTAGCACTTTATCTATTCAAAGCTCAGCTTCCATTAACTTGAGGTGTAGTTGGGGCGCTCAGCCCAGAGATATCAAGTTGGGCATACATAAAATGAAGAACATATAATTAATGGCCACCTGTGAATAGTTTAGTTTAAGAGCCTTGTCAACATTATATAGGAACTCCATGGCAGATGCAGGGATAGAAACCTGTTCTCCAGGGTGGCATTCATTTTTTTTTTAATTAGGAGACCATCCTTTTTCTTTCAACAATTCCCTGTCATTTTCTAACTTCTGCAATAAACAAGGCTGATGTCCTACAAATAGCAGCCTCCTTTAGTACAGAACATTGACTCTTCCCCGGAACATTGTCTAACCTGTGCACTGAATGAAGGAGTCCCATGATAAAACTAGTATGTGATCATGTAATAAAAGACTGTATTATAATGCATACACTTAATTCTGGCATTTCCTAACTTTTAAGTACTTGACTTTGCACCCTTGACATTCATTTAAATAGTGGAGGGAGAAGGTAGGTTTGTGTGTAATTTCCTAGGCTTTTAAAAAAGCAAATTGAAACAACAGAAGTTCCATCATGTGGCATCTCATTAGCACTCACATGGTTCATCAGCGGGGTTGGAACCTTCAGATCCACCGCTACTTGAGCTAACTGATTGTAGTAGTAGATTGTCATCCTGTATGTGGACCTACAACAAGAGAAGAATGAACAATACACTTTGCCAATAGGTTTCACAGATATTTACTGATCACAGAGGAATGTTCAGAGTCAGGAATTTTCGATTCAATCAGGGGTGGATTGATTTAAATCAAAGTGATTTAAATCACCAGTTTTAATCAAAATGTAAATTAACATGCAGGAAACTTTGATTTAGATAATAGATTTTAGTAATTTTTGCACTTTATGTTTTATTCATAAAGAAAGGTTGGTTTACAACCATTAAAACATGTTGATTTGCTCTAAATATAGTGTTCTGGAATCTATGAACCTATGAACTTTGCACTACATTTGGTGCTTCTTTTAGTTAACCAGAAGGATACTCTATACCTGTACACTTTCATTTAAGCAATTATATAGCTTAACATACAATTATTCAGATTCTTAATATTCACATTTTTAATTATTTTAAAAAATGGCAAATGATGTATTTCTTATTTACTAGATGATGATGATTATTTTCTGCAATTTGTGTCAAGTTCTATTTGGATGGAAATTCAAAATCAATTAAAATGCACTAAAACAGCATTTAACATTTATTTATTAAATAAAACTAGCTTAAATGTGCTGGAACCACAAGGAAAAAAGTGTTGTAAAAAGTTTATCAGAACATATTTGGAATTTAAAACTACCTGATTTCTTAAACAAAGAAAGATCTGTAGTTAGTGAACGGAATTAATTATTTCTAGTCACCAAGTCCTTCAAGATTTTAGAACCTAGTTTTTACTAGTAGATTGGATGACGAAAACAAGCTTTCCTGCTTTTTCAAATTCCACTTGGTCTTAACTTTGAACTAGTTGTAGTTGAACTGAACTAGTAGAATAAACTGAAGTGAAAAAAAATCTCTCTTTACATGCAGAAGAGGGTCTGCTATCAAAAGCTGGCTTAGCATTTCAACAAACTCTGGTTCCAGGTACTTAGCCAATAACTACCATTAGTTCAGCGATCTGACATTCTTTAGAACATGGCAGCAAATATGTAGTACTTAATATTATTTTTGTATTTAATTTAAATTATTTTAAGATTATGATAAGTTTAGGTCTTAACATAGATTGTCATATTTCAAATTTAATTTTAAATGCATCTGATTTAATTTTTAATAATCAATTATTGTTTTTTAAAAAAATCATTGGTTTGTGTCCCACTGGATTCAATTCCAGGTTCTGGAGGGGAATTTTCTATCATGATCACACAGACTTCTGCCCTGTTCCCATTAGCTGCAGAGCCTAGGGAGGGCACCCAAGCCATGGCCCTACCTGGCCCACCACAGCCCAGCTTGGAGCAGGTGCTCTGGTAGCGACAGGGACAGGAAGAGGGCAGGGGTGGGGCATTGCATTGGGAGGGGCCCAGCTGCACTCTGTGGCAAGAGACAATGGGCTGAACAGGGGGATGGGTTAGCCCTATGGGACAGGAACCATTGCGGTATGAGTGCAGGCCCCCTGGGGTGTCCCACCCCCTGGGGGCAGGACCCAACCCCGACCACCACCCATCTGACCCCCCGCCCATGCTTTAAATGACACTCTGCAGCCCTTTCTTGTTTCCCTCAAGCTTGACCCCTTTTCCCCGTGTCTCCTCTAGCTCATTTTGCCAGTCCTGTCTCTCCCTGCCCCAGCTCCTCATCGTAGTCTTCCTTCTCCCTTCATATCCAGTCTCCTTGACCAGCCAATCCCAATCTCTTCCCTCCCACACAAGAGCTCCTTTTCCCAGTCTCCATGCCCACCCATTCCCAGTTCTCCTGCCCTGGATCCTCTCCTGATCTCAGTCTCAGCATCCCTGCCTCCATCTGGCTCTTCGTCTGATGTCAGGGTATCTCCTCCCTGCATTGTCTCCCAGTCTCCCTCCAGTGACATTCTGACCCCATTTTCCACCCCATCCCACCTCTAAGTTCCAGCCTCCCTTGGTCAGCCATTCCCAGTGTCCACCCATCTTAATGTTTCCCAGTACCAATCTTCCCCAGGGGCTTGTTGTCCCAATCTATTTCCTCTGCTGCCTCTTGTCTCCCACCCCTGTCCCAGTCCAGCTCTTGGTAGTATGGATGGTACAACTGTCTATTTATCAACAGTCATTAATCTTTTAAATTTTCAATATTGAATATGCTGAAAACAGGAGTATTCTATGAGGAAGCAAGAATAAAGCTAATACAAATTTTGAAGTATCTAGTGCAATTTTAGAAAAAGTTTAGGCCAAGAACTTAGGCAAAAAATAAAAATAAGTTAAAATATAAATAAAATAATTGCTGCGTATTCTAAAAATAAGTTGACAGTTAATTGCATCCTAATAAAAGGATATTGTCAACTTAAGAATCACATTTAAACCTGATTTTTTTTAACCTGTCATTGTTGAGATTACCTTAACTGGGAGAGGTCAGTTCATTTGTCCGCAATCTTTTTCACTGGTGACCTTTAGTCAGTTTCACACTCTTGTTTATGTGGGTTATTTTACATAACAACAGGGGAAAGAAAAAACATTTTAAAAAACAGTATGAATGTAAAAGCACAAAAATTGGAATAAGAAATTAAAAGCAGGTATAGTACTTAACACTCCTTTTAATTAGCTTTTTAGTTTTTGTCTAGATTTCAATAAGGACTGAAATCCATGGGCCTCAAACACACACACATATTTCCTAATGACACACAGTCATATTAAACATTTTTGAAAACCTGGTGTCAACACTGGTTTTATGTGTTTTCTTTCTTATTTTTTATTTTTAACAAATAATAAAGCAGGTTATCCTCTTCTCCATACATATTGTAGGTTCACTAGATGCCTATGCCTAGCTCCCAACCAGGTCTCCCAAGACCCCCTCATCCCACACAAAAAGGTACCATACAGAAAAATGTTTAACTTTTATATAATGTTTTGTTACCAGGCCTTTTGTTAAACAATAGAACAATGAAATTTACTGACTCCCTTATTTTTTGTTCTTCCTCAGAAATCTCTCTCTTCACTAGACTTTCTTTCCCTCTCTGCTTGCCTCTTTCCCCTCTAAAGCATCTGTTACCCCTATAAATCTCTCCTTTCCCAACTTTCTTTCCCCCACCCTTTTCCTCCATTCCCATCCAGCTCACACATAGCTTGTCCCAGTTCTCTTTCCTCACCTTTTCCAATATACATTATCTAAAACCTGTTCACTATACATTATCTAACCGGTTCCCTGTTAACTCTCACCCCCTTCTGTTCACTTCATGTCCCTTTTTGTCTCACATGGTCTGGTTTCCTATTCCCCAGCCAGATCCCATTATTTATCCTCTCTCCCAAACCTTTCCTGCTTTTTTTAAGCTTTCCTCACTTGCCACCTGCCCTTGAGGCTCCTTTCTCTCTCTTGCCTTCTCCATATCGTTCCCATTTTCTACTGCCTCCATCAGTTCACCATTTATTCCCAGTTCATCCTTTCCATTTGCAGATGCTATACTCCATACAGATCCTATGCCTTCTCAAGCACTTCTCTGCCAATAGTCCATCCTCTTTACCCTGGTGTCCCATAGTCTCAGGCCCATGATTTCCCTGGTGTCTCCAGATACCCCATTCCATTTCCTGAGTCCCTCCTTTGCCCTCTGCTCATCCCCAGGGCTTCCCTGCCTCAATTATTTTTTCAGTCTAGCCTCTCCTCCATTAATCCAGCTTCTGATGCTGGCATGCTCCAATCCCTCTTCTGGCTGCCAGTCTCTTCATTGCTCCATCTCCTGGTTCTGCAGCAAACTGACCTTCTGCCCCCCAGCAGACCAATTCTCTACCTTCCAGTGGATCTTCTGCCTCTCATCAAGCATACCTATCATCTTCCTCCCCTCATCCCCTAAAGCAAATCAATTCTGTGTTTCCCCAATCCTTCCCAGCAAACCAATCGCCTCTATCTCCCTTCATCCAGGCTCTCTAACATATCTGGAGGCTGATTTTCAGACCATGGGTGAAGGGATGCTAGAAATGGTCCTAACTACTCTCTGACCCTGTGTAAGAAGGGGAGCTATCTTGTGCACTGGCTCACTAGAGCATCTATCCTACTCCCCGTGAAGCCACAGTGGGGTTCTCATTGCCTGTCCGGGAAACTACCTGAGTCAGGTAGCCAGTGGGGGGGGGGGCAATGCCGAGCAGTTACAGCAGAGCAGAGAAAGTATCTCCAGCTCAGCACATTCCATAGTCACACAAGGAAGTAGTGCTCTCAGGGCTATGGGGCAGGCAGTCAGGAAGAAGTTGGGAAGGCAGTACCTCCTACCATCTCCCTGTCGTGATGAGCTTAGTGCTGAGCAAAACCTTTGCTAGGAGCAGATTGATAATTTTAAGTAACACGCATTAGGGACTGCACTGTGGTTTTAAGCCATAGCTGGCAGTAGGGGTGGCATGAGGTTGATGGGCCCAGCAGGAAATATTGGAGCAATGTACATGGTTGATCTACTCTTAGGTAGGCACAATACTGTTCAGAGCACCGAGAGGGTATGGCTCCAGTTGCACCCTTTGTTCAGATGTGTCACGTGTTTCTCAGTCAGCTCTGGGCCCACTGCGGTTTTGAGTAATGCCACCAGTATGAGAGGGTCATAGGACCATGTCCATTTGTGGAGGCACAAGGTGGAAGGCTCCTGTGAGTGCCCATGCAGTGCAAAGCCCGTGCAGTGCAGTGCCCATGCAGTGTTTCCATACACATCATCTGACAGAACTAATATATTGGTGATTTAGCTATGCATATCCCAGGTACTTAACACATGCACTTTGCTGTTTAAATATTGGGCAGATTTTGGGGGCACAGGCTCTGCTAGCAGCTGCCACTAACATTACTGGGAATCATTTAGATAAATTCTTAGTCTCTTGACTGAAAACCTAACGTGAATTGTTTTCTGAAATCATCTGAAACTCTTTTAATCTATTATTAAACAATGAAAATGAGTGTAATAATCTCAGTAAATGAGCATTTATGTTTGATTCTTTTGCAATACACTTGTCTAATGTTTGAAAAGTACACTTCTGAGATACCTGTGTACTTAAAAAATACTGTGTTGTTATACGTACCACATTCACATGATTGTATATCTGATGTAAAAATTTTGAGCAGGCGTTTCTCAGTGCTTTACTGCATTTATTATAACAAACATAAACCGTGTTCAAAGAATATTTTTAAGGTTGCAAAGTCAAGAACTCAAAGTTAGGAAATGCCAGAATTAAGGATGTCTGTGCCACCTTAATTCAGTCCCCTTGTGCAAAGCATTTTTGATATAGCCTTTAATTGGCTGATCATGTACTATTATTTCCACAGAAACTTGGCCTCATGCAATGCACAGGATGGACAGTTCTCACTTAATGAGCAGCTATTCAGTATTTTGTTTTATACTCATTATTCAGTGTATGGCTCTGTGCCTTATTTATTAACAGAAAAAATAATACCTACTTCTTATATAGCAATTTGTATCAGAAGGTCTCAAAGTATTTTACAAAGGAGGTAAGTATTATTATCCCTGGTTGTTTGTTTTGTTTTGCTTGTTTTGTTGTTTTTGTTTCCAGGGCTTAACCTTAATTCTGGCATTTCCCAACCTTTGAGCATTTGAATTTGCAACCTTAATAGTCTTTTAACATAATTCTATGTATATAAATTCCTAGGTGTTTTTAAAAGGAAGACTGAAAAAACAGAAGTGTCATCATGTGGCATGATACGGACACTCGCGTGGCTCATCAGCAGAGCTGGAACCTTTAGATCCACAACTCAGACCCATGTCACTTCAACTAATAGAGTAATGGATAGGAATAATAAATTGTCATCTTCCATGTGGACCATCAGTAGAGGGGGCAAGAGGCACATTTTGCCAGAGGGTTTCACAGATAATTTGCTGACAGCACAGGAATGGTGAGACTCTGGAAACGTGGATTCTATTCCAGCTCTAGGGGAGAGTGTGTACTAATGGTCAGCGACTCCTGTCCACTCAAGGTTGAACATTTTTGCCACATCCCTTCAAACAATCCCAGTCCTGTCTCTTCCCCACCACTGGCTCCTTGTCCCAGTTCCATTCTCCTTGCCTACCCACTCTGTGGTCTCCACTTCTCAGGCTTCTCCTCCCACCTCAGTCTCAACTGGATTCTCCCTCCACTCACCCCCACCCCCAACCCCCATGGCCCAGGTCTTTGATTGTCTCAGTGTTTTTGCCCAGCCACTATCAGTTCTCACCACACACCTCAGCTCCTTGTCAGATCTGTCTCCCCTCTCCCTCAAACCCATTCCCTCTACTCATTCCTTGTCCCATTTTCCTTGATTAGTCAGTTCCAATCTCCTGCCTCTCCCCAGCTCCTTGTTCCATCACAGTGGTCACCCCTTAATTCCCCTCAAGAGCTCCCAGTCACCTTGTCCAAACGGTCCCAGCCTCTTTTCTCCTCCCAGCTCCCAGTATCAGTCTCCTTATGCAGCTAGTCCTAGTCTCTGTTTCCAAATCCCAGTCCCAGTTTCTCTCCTGCCCTCCTATTCTAGTCTCACCAGACTCCTTGTCTCAATGTACTCCTTTCCCTTCCCCCTTCTCCAGCTTTTGTCTCCTCTGCTTTCGAATCAGAGAGCTTCTTGCTCCAGGCTGCCTGGGTGATAGCAGGAAGTTCATTGAGAGCACAGGAGAGATTGGTTCCCTTCTCTCAGTTCCAGTGCCTGTCCCCAACTCAGCCTGATTCAGCTGGGAATAGTCATTACAGGGAAAGTCTGTCTTTGCCCATGTAGCCATAGGCTGAGGCATGCATAATCACTCTGTAGGGAGGATTCATATGCAGTGTGGTCCCATGTAGGAACTGTGAAGAGATGCTCATTTGCTCTGTAGGGATGACCCTTGTAAAGTTTGGTCAATGCTAGGAGCTATGAGGGGTTCGATCATGGTAAGTGAGGATGATATCTGCGGATATTTTGACTCCTAACATCTATTAAGTCTTTGCAGAGCATTTGATTTTTCAGAGGCTTATAAATTGACCAAATTTGGGTGGATTTTCATAGGGACAGCAAGAGACACAATCCTGACACCCTGCCAAATTTCAAGTCCCAAAGCAAGGGGGGTACTAAGGCTGTTCAAAGAAAAGGTAATCAGAAATGTATTTTTCTCTATCTTAGACATGGGCAGAACCATTCTGGCTGGAATTTAATATAACATCAATCAATCAGTCAGTCAGCCTGTTGCAGACACTCAGCATAGAAAATTTCAGCCCAATTGAGTAGAGTTTGGCAAAGTGATAAGCAACTGAAGATAGGGCCTTACATTAGGCTGTATTGGGCAACCTTACTAATGGGTGATGCTACCAGTCAAATCTTTTATTATAGAACTCCAGGTACAGGAAGATTCACTATAATTGATATTAGAATCTTAGGAACTAGAGTTATCCAAGACATTCAATATTAAGTCATCTTGTCCACCCCCCACCATCACAGGATTGGTCCCTCTCATGTATTCTCTAGTGCATTGTCCAGGTCAGTTTTAAAATCAGCTTACATTGAAAGAACAAAAATTACTGAGATTTCTATTTGTTAGTGTTTAGTTTTTATTATCCACAAAGTTTGCAACACATTACTAGTTTCTTATAACAAGAAATACCTATTAGATATGGACAACAAATATGGCAAGATCTGAATTATCTTCATATTTTGTTCAGATTAGTGAACCACCTCAAAGCACTACCTGATCACTAATCTCAAATGTTCAATCTACAGTTCCAGTCTTTTCTTCCTAAAATTTGTACATCTTAATTTAAATCTCTGTAGTCTGCTCAGATACAGTATGTACACAATTTTATGTTTGAGATACAAAAGATTATTATTGTAGGTAATTTATCACAGATATTACTCTGGGTCACCTATCTCATCTCCTGACAATGCAA